GAGAGAGAGAGAGAGAGAGAGAGAGAGAGAGAGAGAGAGAGAGAGAGAGAGAGAGAGAGAGAGAGAGAGAGAGAGAGAGAGAGAGAGAGAGAGAGAGAGAGAGAGAGGGGGTGGCTGAAAGGACACCCTTGGGGATGCGCAGGTTGCGTTCGCGCGCGAACGGCAATACCGAGAACACAAGACAAACACACCGGCGCTGCTCTCCCGAGCCTCTGCTCGGCAGAACGAGAGTGCCTGATGGAACAGACCGCAACACGCCGACAGCGTCAACCCCACGACACCACAGCACACAGCCGCACACCGACATTGTTGCAGGGCGACACCCGGTGGTAGATCCGTGCGAGCGCGGAACGTGCAACAAACAACGTCGTTCTCTTCGGAAAACTTGACAGAAAACGCAACTACCTCACAGGGCGCAATTTCGCCCGACAGAGAGCAGACTGTTCGAACCTTGTTCAACCACCTCTGGAAGTTTATATGTACAGACACGCATACGGACCGCCTGCGCAGGATTTTAAGAGTATCTAGGATAAGAATCGGGAGGGTGGCACGCAGACCCTATCCCTAACCCTAACACTAACACCAAAGCACGGATTGAATACTTTATCCCATATGTTTGCTTAATCAATTTTGCTGCGTAGACTAATGCGCAAAACGCGCTTGTTTCAGCCACGGCCTCCTGCTCACCGATGGACGGGGCGTCCTCGCACGTGAGCCGGTAGCTCTGGCACTCCAGCCGCGCCTTGTCCACGAGCACCTGAAGTGAATGGAGAGATGAAAAAGAAATTGAGGAAGCAGGCACGAACGAGCACTGGCAAGGGTCCCGCGGCACCCATACACGCACAGTACAACAGCAGGCTATTGTAGTAGAACATGGAGACAACAGTACCAAGAAGAGAAAAGCGGCCTGATTCTGAAACTCTTCCAAGACAAGACAAGACAAAGGTTGCAGCTGCTGGACAAGGCGCAGAGCATCGCGTGTTGCCGTCACGCCCGACAAGAAAAAACGCACCGAAAAAAAACACAAGGAACCCTTGAAACAACGACCGCGTAAAGTGGTAGAACAGTAAGGACACGATGAAGGTATAAGACCCCGATTTATGGGAACAAAATCTTGTCGATAAATCTTAATCTTGGCCAAGATCTGCCAGTTTCACGATTTATGGGAGCGAAATCTTCCGATATATCTTGGCCAAGATTTCTCGAGGCCCGAAATCTGCCCTTTCAAACAAATCTTGACCCAAGATCTGTCGAAATGAGCCTTCCGACAAATCTTGAGGCGGCGTAACAAATCTTGCCTCAGTGCGGCGCGATCACCCAAGGTCAGTCAACCTAATCGTCCATAACGCCATGAAATCTGCACGTGGCACACTCGCAAGGGTCTCTAACGCACCCTGGCGTCACTGTGTCGGCGCCACGGGCGCCGACAGCGAGCGAAAACAACCAAGGCGCGCAAAAAAAATGCGTTTTTGCCCTGGCTCGTTCTACGTGCGTCATCACCAGTCTGTCGAGGGACCGTTCAAAGAGTACTTTATTTTGAAGTAGAAAAATAGAGCAGGAGGAACGTTTTGCCAACACTGCTCTGTCGTGTGCGACGCTTCCATCTCTTCATCGAATCACCCCACACCCAACCCGTGTGCACCCGAGCCAAATCCGTGGGTGCAGATGACAGCGCCGGAGGTTTGACCTCGGTACGCCTGCTACATCGTGAGATACGTGCATGGGTGTCATCGGCCTCGGGTTGATGTACTTTCTTGTCAGTTGGACAGCAATGGAACAGTTGTGTTTCTCCGCTTGACATGAGCTCGTGGGCAACGGCTTCAATTTTGCACCCCAGGTAGGCGCCCATCGCTAGTATCCACCCACAGTGTTGAGGCAATACAGCTGGCGGAGGGATGCCCCTTCTACAACTGCGTCATGCTCACTTTTCGCCACACCTTGGCATTTTCCGTGGACCAAGTGGCCGTTGTGCCTTTTTCAACTTCAAGCAGAAGAGAGGAACAACACGCCGCTTTTTCAACATTCAAGATATTTCCCCCATAAATCGCGATACTGCAAATCTTCGCGGAGATATATTGTGAGCAAATCTTGGGTCAAAATGCCAAGATATAATTGCAAGATTATGTTTCCATAAAGAAGGGTCTAACAACAACAACAACAACTAAAACAAAAACAACAAAACCATCAACAACAACAACAACAATAACGACAATAACAACAAGTTCTACCACCAGCTAGCTCTCACGCGTGCGTCAGCCGTAAGCCCTGCGAAGGCCAGCGTGATGTGGCTGTCGATCTTGACGATCTTGCGGATCGTGCGAGGGTCCTGGAGCTTGGCGGTCGCTCGCCGCTCCACCCCCAACACCACGCAGTCCTTGCCCTTCACGCAGACTACCGAAGACCCCTGTCCGGCCGTTGTACATAGTTCGAGGCGTTCGGGTGCGAAGGTCGCAAGGGAGAGGCGTTCGGTGAACATACTTGGGTCCAAGAAGCGAAGAGAAACAGGAGCAAAATAGCTGCCAGGGTTATAGGGTTAAGGTTAGGGTTATAGCGTTAGGGATAGGGCTTGCTGGGTGGCGTCGGACGCCATCATGACTGTTTTCGCGCTGCTGTTCAAACGACGGCCTGCAGCGGTCTCTGTTGTCGGCATTGTTCCCAAGGAACATTACGCCGTGGATACATTTGAAGAAGTTCGGACATGACACGCTATTCAAACCCCAGCAAGATAGAAAAAATATCCTTACGAACAGTAAGTGTACTTGCATGCATAGCTCTTGGCTTGTTGGACTCCACACACACACACACACATACACCTGGCTCCCTTCAAAACGCTCCAACAATACGCGGAGATGGCAAACATTGCACGGATACATGTACGCCCCAAAACCTCGCGCAATGAAGTGACCAACCACAGCAGTGCACACCACCCGTGTGCCCAGCATTGCAGGACCGCTTTGGACAAACAGAAGTGGGAAAGCCCACGCGGAAACCTCGCCAACTTTCTCCCTCTCACCCCCCTTCTCTCTCTCCCTCCCGCCCTCCCTCCATTTCTCTTTCTCTCTCTCTCTCCCTCCCCCCTTCAATCCCTCCCTCCCACTCCCCCGCCCTCCCTCTCTCTCTATATGCATGAAGCGTGCATTCACTCACCCGTTTGACGGCCTCGATGGCGTACTCCACCTGGAAGAGGTGTCCATCCGGCGAGAACACCGTGATCGCTCGGTCATACCTGGCGGCAAGCAAATACAACAGAGACACGAGAGTCGTGACCGATTACAGCAGTGCTAGGCGTGCTGGGCGTCGCAAGGATCAGCCGCAGGGTCAGCCGCACTGCTAGCTACCTAAGTAACGGCCGACAGGAACCAAACGGAACTGAAAAGCAGTCGCATGAACCGTACGTGAGCCACGATGCAGATCATCCGAGTTCGGTGCACTATCGAGTACAGTATGACAAAGGCATGGTCGGACCGACAGCAGAATCGAGTACTAGGATGTCTTCGCGAGTCAACACATGGGACGGTGTAGGACGTGCGCGCTGCTGGCAATTTACGAAGCGCTGCAAATGCGGCGATTGTAGCAAGCTGTGATGCGGTTAAGCGGGAATCAAAGGAAGAAGACCCTGATGAAGAAGAGTAGGGGCATCCCAGGGATTCCTTGAAAGAGGGTCAACCACAACATATACGGCCGCTGCTGTTGCACGGCCGTTTCATGAAGATACAGGGGTGCCGATTCCGCAGGCTGTGTACGCCGGCGCGCCCGCTCCGAGCTCTCTGCTTGTGTGTGCTACACAAAAAAGATACCGAACATGCAAGCTGCGCCAACCATGCAGACAAAAATAACCCCCCCCAAGGAAGCTAGTGTGACACAGCCACACCCATACTGATGTGCGTGTGTGTGCTCACAGCACCCTTCCCTGTCTTCGGACTACCTACACAGCAGGAGTCGCGCAAACGACCCGCTGTCTAACTGAAACACTCTGTGTAGACTAATAGACCTTTTATAGCTTGTCTTCCAAGTGCAGAGAAGAAGTGCAAGATAGGTCCAACACGCACAACCCAAACGCGAATCCTGCCTGATACTCAACGCAGCAGCAGGGGCCATAGCACACCCGCAACGCACATTGTTGGAGAGCGGTAGTGGAAAGCAGACCTGGCCGTAAACATACTGATACGCTGATCATATAGGGCACAGGGAGAAGCTTGGCGAATCGAAAGCCGTGTGTAGCCCATGGATCGATCCCAGCAGACGACAAACCATCCATCCGACATCTCTCTCCCTCTCTTCGCTTTCTCTGTTTTGTTGTCGATTCGATCGCGAGTCACGAACTCCAGCTACCCTAGCCCATTGCCACCAACGCAATGCTCTCAAGGAAACTCTGTCTACCGAAAGCTCACCTCGACGCCATAGTGGAACAGGACTACCGTTGCCTCTGCTGCTGCTAAGGAACACCAGAGAGCTCTTGTCTCCTGTCCTTCCTCTCCTCCTCTCAGAATAGCAAACCGACCCCACTCCCTATAGATGTCCTTCCCGCAGTGTTGCACAACCTAAAACCCTGCGAGTTGTTCCCCTGCAACAGGTACAGCAAGGTGTGTCTCAGGGAGAGTGGATTTCGAGAGACGCCTTGGCTCCGCGGCGGGGGGGCTCGCAGCTGAGGCTCCATAGGGTATGTGGATGTGTGTACCGTACCCCTCACCCCTTCGTTGTGGAACGTTTCACATTTCTTCTGCTGTCTGTGTCTTGTTATCTCTCTCGCTTCCAGGCACGACGAAACACGAACCATTTCCTTCGGTTCTCACGCTTCATCGCTCTTCTCTGGCAGTGAAGACACGACAGACCTGCTCCTTTTCATGCCTTGCCTTATGGGCATCATGCTCGAAGACGAGATACGGCTCGAAACTCTCCGGGGGCGCCTGGAGGATCGACCAAACAACCTAAAGACTACCGTCCAAGTCGGTACGGGAAACACAGACCGAGAGGTGGTGTAGTAGACGTTTGGACTCTTAATTCAAAATTAATACGAAGAACTATAGACATGAACTTGCTCAATAACATAGGTTATGACTGAATCATGTCAGCCGTGCTGTCGTTTTGGACTAGTCTATGCGTTGGCATAAGTGTTTGTTTTTGGGGGTTCTGGTGTATGTGCCCCATACGACATGATACGGTCTGAATGGTGCATAATATAATGTTGTTACTGGAAAATGGTGTTCCGCGGAGTAGTCTGTTCTGCTGTGTGTTGCGTATGCCTACAGCCATTAATACATGTACATTAACTCTCGTACGTAATGATCTGCGCTTTTGTCGTGTTTCTGCACCCCCCCCCCCCCAAGTCTGGGATTTTCGTTGCGTGCTACTTCGAAACATTCGTTTTGGAAAGCACGTGTTGTTGTGTATGTACGATGCAACGGACGGACGTACCAGCTGGGTACCTCTACGGTTCTTGCCTTCATTTATTTTAGCGAAAAGGCTTTCTATTTGCCTCGTCGGCATCATGTTGACTTTCTTTACTCGCGAACGCTTCGCAGTCCTTTATGTGGCATGCTTCATATTTCGACAAATCACAGCGCACCTGGCGTACTATCTTGGGTTGTACGACGAGGCCGAGGCCTCCATCGAGCGGGCCCTCGAGCTCGGCCATGAAGAGGACGGCAGCATGCAGCTGCGCCTGGCCCGGATGCACGTGCGCAGGGAGAAGGCCGACTCTGCCAACGCTGAACGGCACCTGCGCTCCGCCCTCGCTTCATACAGCGAGGCGATGAAGTTCGTGCGAGTTGCGTCTGAGGCCGTACACTACCTCGAGGTGAAAGAGAATTACATATTTTCCTTCCTTTGATTATATGTAGAAGCGTTTTCAAGCATTGCTTAGATTATGCTACACCTTGGGCGTTGTACGTGTTCAAGTTACCTTGTTTGCCTCTCTACGGCGAGCACTCTGTACACAGGCCCGTTCTTGTATTTCAATTCACTCTTGCCTGGAATTGGCCGAGATTCACGCGTACCTCCCTAGTAAGACGGGTCCCCACCGCCAAGACTAAACTACGCGGATGTGTAGTCAAAGAGATGGGAGCAGAAGATTCGGGACATTAGCATATATTCATGCAACATCCCGCCGCCCATCCCAGGGCCCTAGGCCATTCAATTGGCGAAGAGGTTTGTGACTCGATGGCATTCAATAGACTTACCCTACCCAGTCAGAAATATGCACAATGCAACAACATGTTCATTCGGAGGATACGAGTACACGACCGTCATTCAAGTGGTAGACATATGACTTTTTCATCCAACCTCCCTGCTTGCCGTATATGGGCTGAGAATGATGATCTCAACAACGATAAAGCAACATCGATTGGTAGAACAGGTGCATCATGATGTGTGTTGGTCGCACGTTTTCCGCGGAGAGAATAGGGAAGGCACCCGTGGCCCTCTCACCCCACTTTTCCCTTCTCAATCGGCTCTTTTTTGCGGGCAGGTTACGTCCGTGTACCTCAAGCTGAACGAGACGCAGAGAGCAGCCAACGCTCTGTCAACAGTGTTGGTTCGATGGCCGGTAAGAATTTCGATAGAGATCTGAAAGAATACAAGCTGACCGAAGCAGTTTGTAGGTACTGCTGTTCTTGAGGAATACCTGGTCGGTGTTGACAGCCACACGTACCCGGTCCCGTGTCCCGGTCATTGGAACAACGACAGGGCAAATACGATTTTTGGAGCAATAGCAGGACCTACCTTGGGAGCGTTCTGACGCCCCGAATGTTGTTGTTACGCCCATGCAGCAATCGAGGGAGGCCGTGCTTGCAAAGGAGACTTGCGCGCAAACTCTACTGACGCGGGGACAGGCTTCACAGGCCCTTGGTTTTTACAAGGTATTGTAGAACAACGGGTATAGGAGACATGGTAGATTATGGTACATGCGGTGGTGTGCTTGGAGGACGTTCACCCTCCCCTGTGCTACGTATCCTTGTTGATGGTGGTGCCGGTTCGCGTACTACACGGGCGCTTTGTCGAACGAAGCAATTCTCAGCCACTTTGTCTCACGCTGCCATCGAGTGCAGTTTCACCGAAATTGAATCAGGGGTACAGAGAACGCGGAGAAGAGTTTCACTTCCAAACATCACACCCGTTGCGCTTGTGTTGTCGTTGAGAACAGGCTCTTCTGGTGGACGCCGAGAACGACGGGCACGGCAGCGTGCCGGTAATTGAGGGTGATCGTGCGGAGGTAGACCTCCCCGTAGCCAGCAACGTCCTCGGCGGGGAAAGCATTTTCTTGCAGGCAAGACTAACAAAGTTAGCGCTCCGCACGAGATAGTCGTCGTCCGATTCAGAACCCCATCGCTACCGCATCCGAAGGACTGTGACACCCAATACTGTGCGTTATCCGGGGATCAAGCAGCGTCCTCAAGTAGTAGGCCGTCTCCCACGTGTGCCTGTCGTCCGTTCCTTACAGAATACATTGACGAATACTAATACTTCTCTGCCCCTTCCCGACGCCATGGCGCCGACACGAAAATCACAAAACTGGAAACAAAAAAAAACAAATGGACACAACCGAAAATGCCAGATGGGCTTCTGCTTCGAGACCCTGCGCCAGGATAAGATGGCCGCCGAAGCGTACCGACAAGCGTGGAACACCCTGCTCGAGCAACGCCATGCATCCGCAGCACCGGCAGGTCAGAAACCGCCGCCGTCTACCACAGCCGGCGACCCCTCGAAAACCAGAACAGGTTATGGAGCCGTTTTCGCAAAGACCGCAAAGAGCGGTGGGGGAAAGGAGGTGGGGGTCGTCGGCGTCGATGAGATCGGCGCGATCCTTAGGCAGGCTCAGCTGGCTCTCGCTGCCAGTAGCAGGAGCACGTCCGCGGCGGGGGGTCGATCGCGGGATAGCACCCCCGAGCAGCAGTTGCAGAGAAGGTAGGCAATCGACGCTGTTGGAGGGGAGTCTGGGAAACGCGCAGCATGTTGGGGCAAACGATATATTAGTGGGTAGCAGCCTGTGTTTGCCCCCCTTTCGAACGAATCGCGACACCTTTTCAGGACAACAACACCAGCGCCAGCGGCAATGTCGAGGACAACGACAACAATACAACACTCGGGGTGCGAATTGCAAGGGTATTTTCGACATGAGAAGAGTTGACGGCCATTCTTCCCCCTCCCTTGTTTTTCAGGGGAAACAATCTTGGTCGCTACTGGACACTCGGGCGTGCTTCATATTGACCGCCGTCCCCAGCGTCCACGCCTTCTCTCCTAGGCATTTCCCAACAAACAGCCTTGTAGCTCTTCAGACACTCACATTCCAAATTCCTCTTTGGGTTAGGGAGAACTCCGGCACGCGTTCGCCTCTTTGCGCGCGGTGGACAAAACTTGCCTCCTTGTCCAATGAAGCTTGCAACCGACTTTGCGATGTTCGCCCTTCCTTAGCAAGGGGACCAGCTCTACCGAACGTCGTCCACCATCTTCCGGACAACAACCAGACCAACAGGGAGTTGGAGGTGGCCGCGGCGGGGTGCCTTCCTCGCTTCCATCAACAGCAGACTCCAGGTCAGGCCGTGGGTAATGGCGTTTTGCGCTAGGTTTTGGTGTTATGCGTAGCTCTGTCTAACGACAGCTGGCAAAGCAAGGCAGCTCCACATCAGCGGCGCATACGTCATAGCAAGGCCATCGACGTGATGATAGGCCTGACACAAAGTGATGTTAGCAAGCCTTGCAACCAACACCTGGCGATCTTCATAGGAATTTTCTCTCTCTTTCTTTGTCTTTGAGCAAGCGACTCGTGGCCACCGTACACAACTAGTCACTACCCAATCGGACCAAAAGCAGCTGCCATGTACGTTCTGTACTTCCTGCATTCAATAAACAGCTGTTTGGGGAGAGGAGGGGGGCGAGGGGACCATGGCGATAGCAGCTGTGGTGTGACGAAGAAGGAGACCGTCGTGGATGCAGCAAAGGCTCGGGCGCTCGGGTTCGAGCTGTGGTGCAAGGTAAGATGCTTGGAGCTGAAACTCTGGAAGCGGAAAGCAGCTGTAGTCGACGACGACATAGCGATACATCTTGTTTGTTTCGTGTCCTCGCCACCCTTGCTTTGTCAAGGAGTAGAGAATTGAATACTGCACCACTACCCTCAGAGATGAGAAATCTGCGGTCATAATCTGAAGAAACCGTTGCACGAAGGCAGTGGAAACCTCAACGAGGAGCATGATGAGCAGGTGAAGTTTACGCTAGTCGTGATCACACGCGCAGAGCCGACCTGGTACACGTCAAGTTGTGGTGCTGGGGAGCCAGATTCACACCGTGTTTCTATGTACCAGCTCGGCACGCCGTGCGCAAGTTGGGTCTGGGCAAGCAAGGGCTGCCGCGGCCACCGCCGTCACCACTGCTGCCAGCCCACCTGCCGAACCAAACTGAGAAGATCGGCCTTCAACCACGCACCCCACGGTAGTGGACACCCACCGACCAGTCCGTGGTTGAAAACGGCACCGACGTGTCTCACACGCATTTACCTCTGATTCTTTTACACCCCCGGCGCAGAACCCCTACACGTGGTTCAGTTTCGGGGAGGTTGTCCTGGAGGGCGGCTGCTACGCGCTTACTCTAGCCTTCTTGGCTAAGGCCGTCGCCTTGCTCCCTTCGGGCCTCCACCAGCAGGAAAAGGTAAGCCTTAAGAGAAAAAGGCGGCTAATTCTTCGTTTTGTTTCATGTTTTATCCCTGTTTTTTTTGTGTATTGTAAGGCTATTGCAAGGAGCAGCACGGCACAGCTCGCGGCGTACTTCGCACTGGGATGCGAGACCGGTCTTTCACCGGCCGTTTTTTTACGGCACTAAATTCCAGGACTCTCTTTTGAAACGGGCAACACGCGCCGTTTGGTTTGGTGCATACGGTTTTTCTCGTGTTACTACGTTCCGCAAAATAGAAAAACAAATACATGCAGCGAGCATGGAGTCGACAGGTTCACGGATTGAAAAACGGCCAAAATGCAGCTTCATCTCCGGACTCTAGAATAAGTCTAACAAGCCACCAGATGTGACTGGTCGCTCTACAGTAGCAAACATTGCTGTCAAATGTTCTGAACATGTAACTGAACAACCCAACACGTCAGACCATCAAATTGGTCGTATTTAACCGAACTTTCCCGTGGTTGTGGCGGCGTCCGGGAAGCATGAAGATGAGTGTAGATGTAAGCAACTAACACGCAAACGACGACTGTGCAACTCCTTCCCAGGAGAAACACCTGCCGATCTACATGCGCCGGCGAAGACATCCCGGGGAACCCCTACTTGAAACCCCTCAACAGTTCGGCCTCGCGCAGCTGCACCTTCTCAGGGCGGAGGCCTTCTTTCAACTGGTGAACCGGGGGCGTAGAATGGCTTAGAACGACCTACTCGAGATACGCTAATTTCCGTTGCGGGCCCCTCACTACAGTATACCGTGCCAAAGCACTAGACGGACCGCACGCACGCGCGATTTTTCTCGCTCTCTACTCCACAGGAAATGCAAGAAACCTATCGTTGGTGCCGACGTAAAATCACCATCTTGAATATCTTCTGTATCTTCGGCCCCCCATCACTTTCGCGGCAGGGACGCTTCGGCGACGCGCACTCTGCCGCCGAAGAGGCCCGAGATCTCGATCCTTTCGGAAAGGCAGTGCGTCTCCTCTGTCCGAGGCTCATGGCGCTGCACAGCGTAGACGCGCGTTGCCAGGCAAGGGTCACCCGAAAACAATCGAGGCTGGAGATTCTAGCGCACTTGTGCCACCGAAAGAAACGATTCGAGCCGTTGCCTGCGTAGACGAGGGTTTGTTTATTGAAGCACGGGATTCGTTTCACATCACCACCTTCAAGGGTACACTGTTCTCCGTTCTGAAGCACGAGTTCGCTTCACGTTGTTATGTATTGCCACCATCAATGGTGCTTCACATTGATTGGTACCACTACCACCATCATTGGCACTGGTGTTCTCAGTTCCTCTTGCCTGTAATCAGGCCGCGAACTGCACCCGGTCTTGCCTTAAAGCACCGTCAGGTACACTCGAATACCGCTCCACACAAACACGGCGAACTTGCAAGCGATGTACACCTACGCATACACTCGCGCGCTGCCTTCCAACCCCGTACACCACGCAAAGGAGCTCCCCGTTGACCCACCCATGCTCTTTCTTTGTATGGAAATCCAGTACACTCGCGAGAGCCAGTCAGCACTACGGGTCCAAAGGGCCTGGCGTGGGCACCGCGTGATCCGCGTGCTACACGACTTGGTTTCCAAGCAAACCGCCGCTCTTCGCATCCAGCGTTTCATGAGGGAGTGGAGGAAGCACGGGTTCATCCTCGCCCTACGACTGGTCGCTACCAGCGCGCTAGAACTCAGGCAGGTGGTGCGTAGGCGTCGATCGAGATCTTGGGTGTTGCATGAGCGGAGGGCGGCGGGGGTCGATGGAGAGGCAACTATCGCCCGAATCCACGCGTCACCATGTGTGTCCCCTCCAATAAAAGCCGGCATATGCACCGTTTCTCGTTGGAGGCACGTACAATCGGGGTTGTCCTAACATTAGGTCTCGGTCAGAAAATAACCTCGCGTAGATTCATCCGCGTATCGGTCCTCTCGTGTATTCGTTCCCACCCACTACCCCTTGCCCACTCCCGCACGCTGGTGGGCCGGTCGCCCATCCTGCAGCAAGCTAGGCGCAAAGTACACAAAGGCCATGGGCCTGGCCGCCCAAGCGGCCGCTGCGGACCGCCTTCAGGCGCTGACCGCGTCGGCGGAAGCCGTGCAGCGAGCGGCTCGCGTCCTGATCGCGCACCGCAGGGTTTCCAGGCGGAAGGAGGCGATCGCCGCTCTCCAGGCTTTCTGCCGAGGATGCCGGTTGCGGTGGGCCCTGTCTGCGGCCTTCGAGGAAAGCTTACGGCTAGAATATGTCGCTCATGATCTGCGACAACAACGGGACTGTGGTGATGGGGGTCGTGAAGAAGGTGCCTACACTTGCGAGGAAGGAGTTGAGCCAGGTCCTGATCGTGAAGGCGTAGGGAACACGGACCGCGAAGGTAAGCGCGGTCCGTCAGCAGCGCCGCTACGGCCCCGGCACGGGGATGGATGTAAGCCGCACAAGGAGGAGGCCTTCGCGGGGTACAATGCCCCTCTCAACGTGCAACTGGGAGTCATCGCACGGCGCAACTTCCCCATGGATGCGGGCTGTGCTAAGGGTTTCCGCCCGCCGAACCTCGCGGCCTTCTTGTGGGAAAGTCGCGAGGAGGCGTACGGCTCGTGCTGTGCCGACGACGGCACGGACGACAACCCAACGCTCCTGGTCCCACACCTCGGCAACGAAACGGAGAGCCCCCGTTCTTACGTCGATTCGGCTGCCCGAAGTAGCCACGGTGACGACGGTGCGGTGTTCGAAGCATCCGCCACCGCAGTAGCTTCCTCGGCCTGCCGAGAGGACCCTGTCCGCATGGGGTCGGAACAAAACGAGGTGGATCTAGGCGATTGCTCGCCGGACCAACACGGAGGCGGTCGGCCGCCGGCGTTTGATGAGTTGCCGGCTTCGCCGGTGTCCCCGCTCCCGCTGCTGCAACCCCCGCGTTGGGTGCCGGCGACCGTGGCCCCGGAAGGAGCCTTCCACCGCGCGCTGGCGTGTTCGACGCTGATCGTGAACAGCCCTTCGTTCGACTCATCCAGCGCCCGCCGTCTCTTCTCGCGGATGGGGAAGCCGATACCCGCCGCCTCCCCGCCTAGAGATGAACCCCAACAAGAGGCTGACGACGTGAAAGGGATGGCGGCTGGAGTAAGAAGGGGAAAAGCTGATCTAAATCCAACACACGGAGAGGAAAAAGAAAAACGGAGGCTAAAAAAACACCCAGGGTGTCTTCACGCCAATGGCCTCAAACACGTTTTGTTGGTGGGCGAGTCTCCGATCGGCGATGGGGGGTTGTCGGAGCTCAGCTCGGCGGTGCGATGTGGCTGGTTGCCTAGGCTCACCACGCTAGTGATTGGAGGGCCCGGGTGTAAGGTGGGGCCGCGCGGGGTGGCGGCCCTGGCGACAGCCTTGTCGACTTCCGGCTGTTCGCAGCTCCAGCACTTGTCCATGAGGTGAGCGACGGCTGAGGCTTCGCGGGTCGCGGAAAGCCGAAAACGTGTACCACAAATACTTGTCCGCAGTCCCCCACGGCAGGGTTCATGTATTTCTTGAAAGACTGGGGTTTGCGAGGTTTTGTCTTAAGAGCAGCATTACCACGGGCCTGATGCCCCCCCTCCCCGGTACTTTCGATACGCGCTCGCCCGCCGACTGGTTTGACCGCGCAGCAACTGTTGCCTCGGGCGGCAGAAGCAACGACGTCGACGTCATCACCACGGCTGCAAGACTTCGTTGTTAAACCCGGCGTCAGTCTCGGCGGAGAAGGCGGCGGCAGAAGCCCACGCCGCGTGGGACTGCTTCTTCAGGCACTTGCAGCGCCTGCCGTCGCTGGCAACCCTGTCGATCCAGGACGCCGGCTTGGAGAACCGCGATGTCCGGTCCTTGTCCATAGCCCTGCAGATACTGCCGGCCGACCGACTGCGGTGCCTCCGGCTAAACGGGAACTGCGTCGGAGAGTCAGGGTTAAGGATGCTGTTGACGGCGCTAACGTCGAGGAGAAGGCGGCTACCGGCCTTGTGGTTGAGGAGGCAAAGGCCGGCGCTCGTGGAGAGCGGGGCGCGGGACATTTTCGAGGGAGCGTTTCGAGATGGGCTGTTTGCAGAGGTTAAGAGAGTTCCACATCCAATGAGGATTGAGAGAAGGGAGATGCCGCGCTGCGAATAGAAACACATGGTGATTGGTACGTAGCCTTTTCGCTCAGCGCACCTCGTAACAACTGGTTAGGCAGAGGAATGACTGAAGGGTCCACGTTTTATTCAGGCAATGCCGCCGCGTCGTAGCAAAATGCTGGTACTCTTTGAAAAATTCTACTCCGGAGTATTGCGACGAACAAGAAGCTGAAACATTCACATATGTACGGCTACGATGTAAGAAGAGCGGTCTCCGTAGTACTGACCACCGCTGTGCCACGTTAATCTTGTTTCATCACCGTCAGGTGGAATTCGAGCGACCGTTCGAGGTCATGGGGGGAAGGTCGCACCTCGCGCTGATAGAGTGCACAACCGAGACGGAGGATCTCGGGAGGCGCGCCCTAAAACACCCAACAAGCCACATATACATCTAACCGATGTTCCGGGGTGGGGCGCGTGTGTCGCACATGTGTTGCCCAGTCGAGATAGAAGGTAAAGCGTTCCCGACTTATCTAGATGAACTTTACGATGGTTTGGACCGGAAGGCAGGGGTTCTCCGGCATGCGTGTTCCTGGGTCGGACCTACTTTTAGGAGAGCGGAAACGACAAGCGGTGGAGGTTTGCACTGAGGGTTTGAATTGAGCGATGACCTACGCACGGATTCGACATCCCGAGCGAATCCAGCGCCAGCACGCTGGACCTTGTTCCCCGACTGCTGCCACCACACAGGCATGCTCTCCTGCCGAGTATAGGGACAGTCTGGTGCACGTGAACAAGAGGGACATTTCTTGATTGAATTATCATCCGTCGTGATTTCTAGTCGAATGGTTCTACACGCATCTCCACCGTGGTAGGAGTGCCGTAGAAAACGCTTCAACAACATGACGTCGGGAGGCTACAATATAGCCAGCCATGCATTTCATGTTCGAATTAAAAAAGGAAGAGCAATCGGCTTACATCGACCACATGTCACCGAAAGGGTTAAGTTTTAAGCGCACCCACAACCCACGAAAGAGCGGTGGAAGGCCATGCGGCGGTACCTCCGTAAACACGCAATTTACAACGCGGCAGTAGTGGTCCATGTGTACGGCCGCATGGTGTCAAGGGAATAGGCTGGCCCTATACCGGGGCACCCAGCACTATTCAGAGGACTGTGTGAAACCGTTGAAGATCATGCCATCTGCGCCACACGATTTCACCGGCCATGGACAGGGCGAACGGCATTCTGCAGGGACCACCACTGCCGCACCAGCAAGACCGTCAGCGAGATCTCTGAGTCTCTGAAAGTTGAGGTTGGAGTTTCGGGAAACCTCCCTATTGTCATGATCAAGGCATTTCCACCAACTTCAGGCACACCGGCACCATATTTCAACGGTCACGAGATCTACTCTATTTCTAGGAAGTCCGCTATCTGAAAGCGCGCCTGCATACAAAAAATCAGCGGCTCCGCACCTTCCACAAACACAGCAGCGATTGCGGGGGCGATACCCACTTGGGAGACTTCTAACGACACAGGCATATGTTTAACGTCTCCTCTCTTGCCCTGGTCGCTTGCATTGCTGTTGAGTCTGCGACTTTTAGTCACACATGTAACACTTCCCGCCGCACGACGGGCAGCGCAACCGCTTGTAGCCGACGCACGAGGGGCACGTGACCGCCATCGTGTGCTTCCCGTCAGGGCTCGCTCGGGACACCGCACCCCGCCCCCCGCACTCCTCGCACGGCACGAAGCCGGACCCGCCGCAGACGTCGCAGTTCTCCACGGCCTGCGAACCGGCGTGTAGCAGCTCCGTCTCGGCAATTGTACCCTCCGCTTCCGCGGTGGCGGTAGTGGCATCAGCTGCCACCCATCCGGCGGCACGGTCGCCGAATCCAAGTCCTTGAGCTTGCGACGATGCCCCAGCCGCGATGGCTGCCGTGTTTGGTGCTCGGGCTGCTACCGCTGTGGCTGCAGCCGCTGCTGCTGCTGTGCCTGCGGAAGCGACCGTAGATGGAGCTACGCTAGCACCACGCACGGCACGTCTTCTCCCCCACGACGGGTGGGAAACATCCACACGACAGAACAACGGCCCTTCTGATGAACCCCTCTCGATGCTACTACCGCCGCCTTCCCTAACGCCAGCAGAGGGGGCCTGAGCGGCAGCGAGGCGGCGGAACACGGGGGTGAGGTAGGCGCACTTGCGGCACCAAGGGGCGTGGTACATGACCACCACAGGGCCCTGCCCTTCCCCCAGCGCGCCAAGAACGCGAAGCAAGTCGCGCTTGTCGGAAATCTCCACGATGTTGGTGGGGTTGCCTGTACCATCAACATTTGCGACCATGTCACCGCTACCGCGTCCCATGCCCGTGTCGGTCTCATAGTCAAGACGATCTGGACCTTCTGCAGCCCCCCCAACCACAGCGGCACCATCGCTGCTAGTTCTAGCAGCACCGCCACCTACGCCTCCTTCTCCCGCTCCAGATGGCCGTAGAGGCGAGTCGTTGTCGTCAAGAGAACCCGAGTTTGTCCAGGTGCTTCCCGGCGACGATATAGATGCTAACCTTTCGCTTAGCTCAGTCGCGCAGGTTCGGGCGTCGCGCCCACCGATAACTTCCTCCCGCCTATGCCGCCCTTTGTCCCGAACGAAAAACACGAAGGTCGGCAGCTTCTCCACGTCCACGTTGGTGGGTTCTTCCCGCTCTTCCTCTCCTTCACCATCTAAGGCGTCGTTAGAGCTCAGCTGTACAGCGGAGGGGTTTAGGCTGGTCGGCGGCGCCGTTACTGGTGGAGGAGAAGAAGGCATGTTTTTCCACGCGTCGGCATCGAACATGCTGTGGCCGCTCCCGTGCCTGCGCCCCCCCGCCGCTGCGTTCACACCTTCGCCACCTGTCCCCGGGCTTTCGTTTCCCGCTTGGAGACATCTCTTGCGCCTGCGCGCCGTCGACGCCAATGGTCCCGCACAATAATACCCCCGATGCGTGTCGCTCTGAAACAAGCTCGGTGGCGGATTGGGGGCACTCGGGCGTAAGGGCGAGAGTCCGTTTGGCGGAACCAGCGGCGGGTCAAGCAAGCCGCTCACGGCGACAAGGAAGGTTGCGGAACCCAGAACGCCACGACTAGCTGTCATGGTAAGCGCGCTTGGCTCCGCAGTGAGTCAACTGGAGAGGCGCCATGAAAAGGAGGATCGAGTTTACAGGCAGGTTGGAGGTGTGGACGTTGCGATCAGTTATTGAGGGTGTTCGTGTAGCGAAGGAGGAATTAATCTCTTGACCTTGTGGGTTGCAATCTGCACACGATCGATTACAAATCTACGGGTGCCTAATTTTGCTGTGTTACACCAGCAGAGGCCAAGCTGCGGCATTGCCACGTATGGCCGAAATCCACCGGAGAGGGTATGTCAAGACACAGCAGCGTAATCCACTGCTGTACAGCAGTAGTTTAGATCTACCAAGAGGTCATCATCCACTGCTGTTTCCGCCGTCACCAACAGCAGGGCATGGGTACAGAACTGGCTCATTGTAGTCCGCGTTGTTGCATCGATCTCCTGCACCCCGATGATCATGCACGGGTAGTGCACAACGAGAGCACGCAACGCCGAACTTCGAATGTTGGTACAACTGCTATAGACTAGAATACGGAGGGAAAGGGTCGACTGCTGTAACCTACACTAGCCTACCATATCATCTTGCTTCGTAAGCAGGAACTCGAAGTCACGGAAACAAGCTAGAGGCAAAAAACTCACTGCGATCATTCTGGGATTTGCAGCATCGGCTCACCTCGTAGGCTCGTAGGACGTACGAGCGGAGCATGTACATGCTGATGTGCCTACCGCCGCCCGCGAGGTGCGGCGCAATAAGGGAGCTCCGCAGACCAGGAGGCGGTATGCCGCAACTGCAACGGTTGGCACGGTTGGTGATTTGATTTTTTTTGGCGTTTGGGGGTGTGCGTGTGTGGCCTCGGCTTGGGGGTAGACGGCCCATGAAACCAAGCATGCATATGATCTTGCTTTCAAGTGTGTAAGGCCCGTCGATCAAAGGATGAATAACGGCCACCGAGGAGACTGCAGGCCGTTTGGTCCACCATTCTACCCCGTCGCCGTCGATCCTGGCGACGAGCGGCTCGGGCTGCTTCCGGAACAAAGATTTCCGAAGTCGTCAAAATTTACCCAGTCGATCTTGACACATGGGCGGTATTCAAACAACACATTGGATGAGGCGACCAACCTAAAGGAGAGAGAACGCCGGCTCAAGGAGAGAACAATGTAAGGGCGTTGGTCGCGCGTGTAGCCACACCGTGGAGATGTCTAACGGAATATGACTCCACTGAAACCCGGAACACAAATCGTTCAAAAGGTCCTACAGCAGTACATGTTTGGATCCGAGACTGTCGCCGAAGGTCTTTCTCACAAATGTCTGATAGGTTGTGGTTCGTAAACTGTTCTCTTTGGGACACTGCACAGCACTTTATGAGAGTACACAATAGCTTGATGCCCCGAGTGCATGTTGAGAATAATTACAACGGCAAGGAGCAACGACAACAGCAACACGAATGAACACTCATGAACCCCCCTTCCAAGAAGACACAAATGACCCTCCACAGCAAGCGGTAATCGCCATCTCGAAACGGGCATTTATCTCTCTCGTGCCATAGGCGAAAGATGGAGCAAATGTCCGACAAATTTCGGTGGGAGGTGAAAGAGGTCAAGCGGATACGAAACGCGGTTCGCCGACGCCAGAGTCGAATAGCTCAGGCGAATCTCCGCGCTTGCTGCGCCATCATGATCCAGGCCACGTGGAGAAGATATCAGGCAAAGCTCCTGGCATGGGCCCGGCGGGGCCTGAAGCTCGGTCAGATACTGATGCGGTGGTGGCGACGGTGAGAGAGAGAAAGAAAAAGGCTCTGAGGACAACCTTTGTTCTCTTGTAGGTCGATACAACACCTCAAACCCAAGATGCTATATTGCATTGGGAACCCCGCGCATTCGACACGTGTCCCGTGGACAAACGAAAAACAACAGCAGTATGTACTTCGCAAGTTATTCGTTGAGGTTTGTGTATCTGTTTTTCTCACTTTTGCCCCGTACTAAAATACGTCCCCGGGACGAGAGGGTTGAGCGTCGTAGTCTTGTCCGCCCTCCCTGGCAGGTGCCGGGAGTCGCACATGCTCTTGTACGCCCTGCCGCACTCCCGTGCGGTGCCAACGGTCGGCCTAGCAGATTTCTTCATCTGCCTTGTCATTCTGGGGAAGATTTCA